ACGCCTTCCAATTATTTTCTCTATCTACCTGTACTGGCGATGTACATATGATTATTTTGAACACATGATCATGCCTTTTGCATGCCTCACGGGTTTCGTGAAATATACATTGTTATTATTATTATTATTATCTTATGTTAGTCGTATGCATCTTGTTGAAACTCGGTTGCCTGAGAGTTTGCATGTAGAGTTTGTTGCTACCCCCGTTGCCAGTTCGGCTCATGGTTTTGCGCTTCAGACAGCTATGAACTATTCCACTAGCACCAACAATGTATTTGGTAAATTTAAGACAGAATTAGAGTGGAAAGTAGAGGAGCTTATGCTGGAGGAGGAGGAATTCAGGTTGCGTAAAAAACGCATGGAATTCGAGCGACGATTCGAAAGTGTACTTGCAGACGAAGTTGAAGCACGAGGTGTACAGTTGGAATCTCCTTACAAACCACAGGCTAATTTGATGCCTTCAGAGGTTGACGCGGTTCAGGCTATTGAGTCATCTCTTAAATTGCTTATCATGGGAAATAGCCTACCTAAGATTGAGGTAAACTGTTTTGATGGCTCACCTCAGCACTATCACAAGTTTGTGCGCAATTCTGAAGACAGCGTTGCTGATCAAATTGCAGACAACAATCAGAAATTGTTTTATTTATTGTACTATTGTAGAGGCAAAGCAAGAGAAGCAATAGAACATTGTTCGCTGTTGCCCAAAGGTGATGGATACCATGAGGCCTTACGCATTTTACGGCATCAGTTTGGCCGTCCACATGACGTTATTCGAGCGGTAAGCGGTATTTGCTGGTCCTAGAATAAGCTCGGGTGATGTCGAAAGCCTAAGCAGTCTCGCTAGACGGATGAGATCGTGTGAGGCCACAATGACACAATTAGGGAACGCAGCAGAGCTCAACTCCCCTAACGACCTCGTCCGTATAGCAGACAGATTACCCAGAACCCTCCAGGAAAAGTGAGCTGAGGTTGCGGACGGCATTATTGATTCAGGTAGAGAGCCATCCTTTAGTGATTTACGTGGCTTTATTGAACGAAGGGTTAACGTNGCGAACAATGTCTATGGTCAGTTGTTAAGTGGGTCTAGTCGCAAGTATGATAATAACAGGGCCGATTTCACAGAACTGAGGCACTCTCGAGCGCATGTAAATGTAACGAAGGTGGAGGAAATTAAACATTACTTGCGTTGTCCTATGTGTAATGCCTGTCACGAGTTAGGAGGAGTTCTCAAAATCGGCAGTGAATGAGCGCCTGCATTTTGTTCGCACCCGTAAACGTTGTTTTTTATGTTTAAAGGCTAATCATATGGTA